GGCTGTGCTTGTGGCCTTCTGGGGTCTCTTAATAACCTATCTATACCTCCATCATCGAACTTAACACATGACCTTTTAATTAACAGTTTAAGGGCTGAGTTTATCATCAGACTATTAGTTCTTTGAAGGACCTTATCTTTTTCATATCTATATTGGCAGCATCTGACACATCTAGTACATACCTGGAGCTGGATTTACAGTGTCTTGATGGCAGGTGGATGAGTACATAAATGTGGAAGAGTGTAGGTCTGGACCAAAGTGTGAAGAAGAATGTGAAAGAAAAAGAAGTAAGCCTAATTAAAAAGTATTTTCAAGACAGGAGTAGGGGGAAAAAAAAAAAAGGCCAATGGGCCTTTTATAAGGCACATGCATCTTTGATGTTAGGAGAGGACAGAAGTAATTGACCTGGAGGTGAGTCATATATCCAGGAAAGTTTAGAGCTGAAACAGCCAACTCATAAACCAACTCCTTTATGTTACAGACAAGGAAGCTGATGAAACCAGAAATGGGGGAACGAATCCAAGTTCTTATGACTAGTTGGTAGCAAAGGTACAATTAGAATTCAGGCCTCTATTTCTCACCTAGTGCTCAACCAATCAAATGTGTCATATATCAAATGTCAGAATTACTTTTGTCAAATGGCCAACAAATATTTGAAAAGATGCTCAACATTGCTAGCTATTAGGAAAATGCAAATCAAAACCACAATGAGATACCATCTCATACCTGTTAGAATAGCTATAATCAACAGGACAGGTAATAACAAATGCTGGAGAGGATGCAGAGGAAAAAGGAACCCTCATATACTGCTGGTGGGACTGCAAATTGATACAGCCACTATGAAAAACAGTATGGAGTTTCCTCAGAAAACTAAGAATTGATCTACCATATGATCCAGCAATCCCTCTACTGGGTATTTACCCCAAAGACTTGAAAACCCATATCCCCAAAGATATTTGTACACCGATGTTCATAGCAGCATTATTCACAGTGGCCAGGATATGGAAGCAACCAAAATGTCCTACATTAGATGATTGGCTAAAGAAGCTGTGGTACATATATACAATGGAATATTAGCCATAAGAAGAGATGAAATACAGCCATTTGCGACAACATGGATGGACATCGAGATAATCATGCTAAGCGAAATAAACCAGACAGAAAAAGTTGAAAATCACATGATATCACTGATATGTGAAACATAAACCTAAAAGCAACAAATGAACAGGACAAACAAACAGAGACTCATGCACATGGACTATGGACTAGTGGTTACCAGAGGGTAGGGAATGGGGGGAGGAGAGAGGAGAACAGGTTAAAGGGGATAAAATATGTGGTGACAGAAAGAAATCTAACTATGGGAGGCGAGCACACAGTATAAACATATATATGCCTTACTATTAAAGTGTACAGCTGAAACTTATTGGATTTCATTAACCAATGTCACCATAAAAAATTAATTTTTTTAAAAAAAGAATTACTTTTGTAACATAGTCAGTTTGGGAATTTTCAGAGACTAATCACTCTCTGGGTAACAAACATTCTGACTAGAGGCAAAGTAGCTTTACAAGTACATAAAAGACTTTTAACTGTACTCTTGGAAAGGTCAAGTAAAAAAAATATGGCCATTATTTAGACCATACCTTACAATGATCCCAGCAGATATTAGGCTCTGTGCTTTGCTGAGATATCGTAGACCAGCTAAGTAAGCACAGAAAAATCTTTTTTTTTTTCCTAGCAACTCCTTTCAAGCCAATCCTGGAAGCTTCAGTCGTCAGAATGCACAATGGAGAAGAACATGTTATACTTAAATGCTCCACCATGAGAAGCAAGCCCCCTCCGCAGATAACCTGGCTATTTGAGAACGACATAGAACTCTATGGTAAGTGAAGAAAATGCTTCTTTCCTCCTTCGTTTTCCTTCCCAGTTAAATTTTCAAGGGATTTCTAAATGTTCTGGCACCCTCTGGTGGCAGGAGTTGCCAGAAAACACCATTCAATAATTCATTAGTTCTTTTTCAGACAAATTATACTTATAAACAATCAATATTACCCCTTAATCTTGAACAGTTAATCACAAATAGCATGAATATGTGTTTTACTTAAAACAAGGTAGAAATCTAAAATGTGATATTTATTACAGTGCCTTAAAATTTGACAAAATTTCACAAAATAAAAGGTAAAATAGAGCTAATACCCTGAGCATAAACTTTTTAGTAGGCATAAAATTGAAAACACATTTACCATAATACATCATCTTTCTTACATAGTGTAGTACTGTGTCATATGCACAATGACAGATAAGAATATTATGGTAACAAAGAATCTAAACTTTAAGTCTTTTGATTGAAGCAAACAATTAATTGTCATGCTTGGGAACTATTCATAGTTCGCTTATATTTCAACAGACATTATATTTGATTTTACATAATCATAGATTCTTAGAGCTGGAAGGAACTCTTTATTGTTGAGGAAACCAAGGGTCATATGGAGTTCTAGAGAGAAAAAACCTAAAACCCAAGTCTGATTCCCAGGCCAGAACGAATTCTACTGCATTAAACATCTCTCCTTTAATTTGCCTTGTTTATTCAACCAGAGTCTTTGCATTTTACAACAATGTAAGACTGTCCTTCTTATATAACTGTTACAAGCTTTGGATTTTTTTTCAGTAGTGAAGGGTTTATAGAAACCTATTTATTCTGTTTGCCTGCTTCCCTTTGTAACTAGGGCCAAGTATGTACAAGGCAGGTATCTGTGATTAGAATGAAGTTAGAAATCTAACAGGTTTGTCAAGCTGTGAAGGTCCTTGGTTTCTGAGAGAACCAAACACATTTAGTAATGTTAAATAGCCACAAGCTCATACACCTTTTGAAATTTCTCCACAGGTGAAACCCACCATGAATTTGAAAATGATGGCAAGAAATGTAATAGCAGCAGCACAATCAGAGTCCATGCATATGGCAAAAACTCATCAGTGGACTGCATTATTCGACACAAAGGCCTGCAAGGAAGAAAACTGGTAGCATCTTTTCAGTTCGAAGATTTGGGTAAGAAGAACTAATGATTATGTCTATAATCATGTTTAATTTACCTTAGTATTACACTATCAAACAAAATTAAATGGAATGGGAAAAGTCTTTCAGAGTGAGATTACTGTCAACAAAGCTCTCCTTATAGCAAACTCTTTTAATGGTTGAAATGTCTCCAGCTGGGCGAGAGGGATCTAACTGTTTCAATATTTGGAAGGACCCCAGTTGTGCCAAAAGCCTAGCACAGTGTCATAGGCAGTGTCATGCTTGTTTTTTTATAGTGACAGCTAGTATAACTTGAACTTACATCATTTTATTGCAGTCATGTTTTTGGAAAGATTATATGAAGTATCTTTATATTTGACCCCAAAGGACATAATATTAACTGAAATAAATATAAACTTGTCTATATCGTTTTATGTTAATATAAAGCACTCATACAGCCAGATTGTCATGATTGCTCTTTAGATTTATTTTGTTATAACTGTTTTAAATATTTTAGTCTAATCATGTTAATATTCTGAATAAAACATAATAATAATAAACAAAACATCAAATATTAAATGTGAAGAGGAGTTGCGTCCATTTACAGAATCTCTGTTCTCTAATTCCTTCACTATAAGTTAAAGAAACAATTTTAAAACTATATAAAACTTTTTGAGCCAAGAGGCATCCAATAAGAAGCAGCATGAACCACACCAGTCACTTTCTCATCAAACCAAAAGTAGTTTTTGAAGCAGCTGCATTTAGAAGACTCAAGAACCCACAATAATCTGACACAAATATTCTTGCCTCGTTATGATCCATCCCCTCTCCAGCCTCCGCCCTCATCAGTGGAATGGGAGCACAGGGCATCCGGGGGATGTAGGAGGATCACCAAAGAGAAAATTAGACCTTATTTATCTAATGCTTCTGAAAGACATTCAGAATCTTAAATTTTAAAAAAAAAAAACAATATTGAAAAAAATTTTTTTCTTTTCAGCAATTGTTCAAACAACCTACAAATCATTACTACTGCAGAGGGAATCGATTTCTCCTTTCTAGCTATCGTCCTATATGACTCAAAATCATAGTCATAAAATATTTCTAATAATAATAATAGGTTAAAACTTTATTTTTATTTATGACATCGATTATTTAGCACCTACTGCCGGATCTCCAATTAGTATTTGAAGACCAACCCCAGTATCAGCTGTTGGTGGCTTCCATTTAGTTATGACTTCTCTTTGGCAAGCTACTTCATTGATACACAGATATTACAAATATTTTCTTCATCAAATGATTTAAAAATTTTGCTCGCTGAGGATGCTTTAAAACACTTTTACGAATGAGCATTCTGACCCCTTTCATCTTTACACTCTGCACAGTGGAACAGGGGAGAAATGAGGACCAGGCGCGCATAGCATCTAGGAAAAGAAACGTGCCATCCTAAGAAAAACCCACAGTGGTGCTTGGATGAGAACAGAAGAGCAGGGATAGATGAGACTGTCTTCAAAGTGATTTATCTTTTTAGTATTCCAAATGAGGATTATTGTTTTCCTATAATTTAGTGCAAGATGGGATAAAAACAAAAAGTGGAGCCACAGTTTGCAAACTTTTAGATTTCAAGGCCTCTCTACAAACATACGAGTAATTAAAAACCCCAAAGAACTTTTACTTATGTGAAATAAAGTTATTGAAATTTATCTATTAGAAATTAAAACTGAAAAAACTTTAAATGTTTTTTATTTAAAAATAATGTACTACATACTAATAGAAATGGCATATTTTTATGGAAAAATAGCTGTATTTTGCAACACTAAAAAATGTGAGAAAAAAATGGCATTCTTTTATATCTTGAAAATCTCCTCACTGTCTGGCTTAACAGAAAACAATTAGGTTCTCATAACTACTACTTTCAATCTCATGCAATATATTGTCCTTCTTGGAGCCTGACTGCAAAGCTGCCTAACAAATAAGTAGGCCTATATGTAAAAGGGTACATAGAAAGAGGGATTGACAGGTAGATGGATAGAGATAGAGATAGCGAATACGCTTTGCTTATCACTGCCAAATGCACCACTCTTCAGAGGTCCAGCGTGCTGTATTTCTAAGCCAGGCAGCTTAGCAGATGGACAATCAGCAGGATACAGATTCATGAAACAGCACAAGAGCCGCAGAACTCATAGTTCTGAGGTTTCTGCAAAACCTCCACAAGCAGGTAGCAGCCAAATACATTCTCCAGCCTATTGTACTGAGTACAATGTGGGTAAAATTGTTCTCTGTAGTTGTAGAATTTTGTTTTTCTTCTTTCCTAGTTACTGATCAAGAGACAGCTTCAGATGCCCTGGAGAAAAGCTCTTCATCCTCACAAGACCCTCAGCAGCCCACCAGTACTGGTAAGTGTCGAAATCGTTAAAACAAAACAAACAAACAAAAAAAATTATGACTCTTTAGGAAGTCGATTATTCATTTCTAAGTTTTACATTTTTTCTTCGACTTTGTAACAAGACCATACAGGACCCTCTCCATATGATTCTAGCTTTGTGATGACCTAGAGAAGTGCCATATCAGGAGTGTTCACTCTGTGGGATGGGCTTCAGGGTAACTATTGCCTTGTTAGGTTCTCTCTCTCTCTCTCTCTCTCTCTCTCTTACACACACACACACACACACACGACACACACAATTGTGACATTTGAATTTTCACTATAGTAAAGGGCAAGGTTGAATTCATTTATAGAAAGAATCGTTTCTTTGTTTTTCAGTTTAGAACAGAACAAACACAAAATAAAGACTTGGTATCAACAGAAAGCAAAGAAGCAGAATCTGGAGATTTGGTGTTCTTTGTCATTGAATAACAAAATCCTCTTTGAAGGCTCATCAGTTACTTCGTCGACAAGAATTCAGATAGTTTTTGAAATATAAATGCAGAAGCGTTTAGAAAGCCTAAATTATAATTCCAGTTTTTTACACAGTGAACCACTAGATGGTTAACTCTGAACAATGATCATATATTTAATTTATCTTTTAGCTAGCATAGTATCTGGTACTCAGCTGGTACTCAGAAAATGCAGTATAGATGAGTGAATGGATGAATGCATGCAGTTGCTATGGTGCTTTCATAAATTCCTACATGTCTTCTTTCTATTTCATATAGTGTCTCTATAACAATTTAATTTGGTGGAATAGTGCTTTCATATCATTATATTTATAGTTCTGAGTATTAGATCGCATTTAACAATTTTTTTTATCTTAAGTAATATTTAAAAGTAAGTGTTTGGGGCTTTAAATGCTGATAAATACAATATGTGCCATACAGTTTTTTAAAGGACAATGAAAATTGAAATTGAAGTGAAACAGCCACATTACTTGCTTTAATAATCCAATATTTTTACACATTTAGAATCTATTTGTCTTTAAATTGGCTTTTGTCACTACTAAATAACTCAATTTTCTGCCCTACATTTTAAAATATAATGTAAGATTTTTAAAATATGATTTTTAAACTTCCTTTCAGCTTTCAATTTCTACAATCTTATACTGTTAATAGTAGCCATTTTCAGTAGAAGAATGGGTGATTTCATTCCCCTCAGGATCCACACAGTGGCACTGTTCATCGGGCTAAAAAGCAAGAGACCGCAACAAAAACAATGAAAACAGAAAATAGGGAGGATAAACAGCAAAATCAGAAAAAGAGACCTCTTATTTTTATAATTTCTTTTACCTAGCAAAAGCATCATAGTACATCCCACTTCTGTGGCAAGGGTTGATGTGGAGACATGCACAGTTTTGAATAACAACTAAGCCTACTTTTCAACATAAAAACCATTGCTTTGGGCATTTGGGGCTGTAGGTTTTCCATCCATAAAACTCTCCACTGTTCAATTGCTATCTTGAAGCATCTTAAGGACCTTCTCACTAATAGGCCTGATTCAGGAAGGAAGTATACAATAATGGTTTTAATTTGGGGTTCTGAATTTCAATATTGGCTCTGCCACTTACTTGCTGCAGGGCTTTAGAAAATTTATTTACTTATTCAAAACTCTGTTTGCTCAGACCTGTGATGAGGAATTATATAAACCAAATACTCAGTTTAAGGCCTGGCACAAATTAAATGTTCAATAAACGCTTACCTTTAAAAAAAATGAGGCAAATTGACCCTGGCCATTTGCAACCCTGGCCAAGTCAGTAGTTTTAAAATGACCTCATTGTTGGTTTTTGATGAGGATCACTTCATTTGGTTTCCAAAGCTGCTTTGGGGTGACTATGTGTATATATACACACTATACATATATAGTCATATGTATATTTCATGTGTTTCATTCACCTTAGTCACAGTAATAGAAGATTCTAGTACATCAGAGATGGAAGAGGAAGAACAAACCACTCAAGACCCTGACTTGACCACTGGTAAGTGTCCCCCACCGCATTTAGAATGAACACTTGACATCTTAACCTCTTAATCAATAAATCTAAAGATGTTTTTCCATCTTCATTTTTCTTGTTCTTTCTATTGGTTAATCACTCCCGTGCTCCTTGACTTAGTTGCCTCCCTGGCTTATTTGACATACTCTGCTTGGTCCTGTTACTTTTTACTAACTACTCCTTCTCTGTGTCCATTAACTAGCTTCCCTTCCTCCTCTTCCTTCTTATATGTAGATATGCTTCTGATTTTCCTTCCTCATCCTTGGTTCTTTCCACAATTCTTAAAGAATTTACCCATTCCAAAAACTGTTCCTGTTGCTACCAGCAGGAGATTTCTATACCTGTATTTCCAGAACATTCTCCTGAGCATCAGTCCCTGTTTCATACCATTTCCTACATATCTCTAGTTGATTCTTCTGCTATATCCTCAAACTCAACATCACTAAAAACTGAACAGCATCTTTACCCACAGCTTATTTAAAGCATCACGGAGACCCAAACCTTGGTGTCGTCCTTCATTACTATGTGTGCATGTGTATGTGTGTGTACATGTGTGTGTGTGCATGCATGTGTGTGTGTGTCTATTAGCCTATACTACATATAAATTCAGTCAGTTTCCAAGGACTTTTGAGTCTTCTCTTTCAGGTGCCACCACTCTGATGCAGACCTTCATGACCTTTTGCATAACTTCAGTGTCTTCTTTTATAATCCATTTTAGCACTTAACTATCAAAACATCCCTTTGAACTTTTTACACCTGTGTTCAGAAAATCTTGGTGACTTCCCATAGTCTACAATGTAGAGCATAAGCCTTAAATCCTCCATAAGGTGTATTTTACCACCTCCCTATGCAGTTCTGTCTCTGTAAAGTCCTGACAAGAATGCACATTTTTTTTCCTGAAAACATCTCATTTTGATTACCCTGCCCTCGTTTACTCTAACCAGCTCTGATGAAAGGAAAGGCCTCATCACTCCTCTCCCTACACCTCTTTCAAGTCAATATCTTCATTGAAAAATTTCCTGACAAACTTGGGGGCCACTCCTGCCTCTGAATCCCTGAACACATTATTATATTAACACATGTAGATCTAAAATTTGGCATAGATAGCTTCCTTCTGTTTGTTTTTTATTAATCTATTTGTTTACATATATAGACAACTATCACCTAAATCATAAGGATTGTGTCTCATGCAGCTCCAAGCACAATGTTCTACACATAGCTGATACTACTTAATTGCTTCTTGGTTGAGATGAGGGGACCAGTACATTTAGCAAACCTAGAGCCCAGAATTCTAGGTCTTTCTAAACCTAGAATTCTGGGCTCTAGGTTTGCTACATGTAAGGGGTCATTCAGTTTATCTCCAAATGCCTTCATGTAGGACCACATTTAAGCTAGCCAAGAATAATAAATATTCATTTTATTCGCATAGTTTTTCAAATTCCCTAACACCCTCTTTTACTACCTAAACTACACTTTGCTAAAAAAAAAAAAAAAAAAATCAATTTGAATCCTCAGACTATAATTTAAGTCAATATTCTCACGTTTTCTCCAGAAATGAAAAATAACTAGTTTAATATCTATGTAACTTAAAAACCTTTTTAAAATCATCCCACAAAATTGCTTTATTTGTATTCTTGTTTTCGGAGAATAAATAGTATGAACCTCTTTACCATCAGGGTAAAGCTCTTCTTTGTCTCTTCATCTGAGCTGTCTATTAGCCTATACTACATTTTAGAAGTATTGTGTATTCTCCTCAGTGACCTAAACAAACCCTCAAACTGTCTAAAATCCTTTTATTTTCCTTCTAGGAGCAAATTCTCAGTATACAGGATTGATGAAGAAGAAAAGTGGCATACTGCTCCTCACTCTTGTGTCCTTTCTCATTTTCATACTCTTTATTATCGTCCAGCTCTTTATAATGAAGCTTCGGAAAGCACATGTGATATGGAAAAAAGGTGAGTGGGCAGAGCACCTAATGGAGACTGAGATGCTGAAACAATAGGCTGGCAAACAAGAAAATTCTGTCAATTAAAGTTTTTCTGCTCCATGCTGCACAATTTATTTGACAGGTGTTGTCACTCAAATAAGCAAATGTTTGTTTTGCAGTAAACACGGGTTGTGAATCTCCAGGAATTATAGTCAAAGAGTGCATAACCAAGAGAAACTAGAGTAGCTCCAGGAATTAGAATTAAATTACAGAAGCTTCTACTCATAAAAAGATACACAGTAAAGAGCTCATTTATTCATTCAATGTAAGTTTATTCATAATGTAAGTGTGACTTACATTATAGTGCTATTGGACAGTGCTGATTTAGCCACATATGATTCGAACACCTTCAGTGACGGAGAACCCATTATATCTCAAAGCAAAATACTACATCTTTGAATAGCTACAATCCTTTTAAAAGTACCACTTCTCTGAGTTTAATATCAGTCTCTCTGGCTTTCGGATGGACTAAAATTCTCATGATAAGTAGACTGAGAAACAAGATCTGCCTTTTCAACTCTACCTGCACAATAGACAAATGCCATTGTATTGTTCCTAAATTTCCCATTAATGCTTCACCCCCAGAATTCTTTAAGGGCTACTGAAATCATTCTTTCCCAAAGGACAATATTTAATTCTAATCTGCCATCATTTGACTTCTGCAACTCTTATACTGCCTCGCACAGTGTTTGTAGGATTCAAGGCAAAAAAATAAAAAATGATTCGTTGAATGAGTAAGGACATGAGGTATGGGTGGGGGAATGATAAGTCCACTATTATATAAAAGCAGAGGTATAATCTTATTCAAACATACATATCTACATATAGGTGATGTTCATGGCACCTGAAATTAATAACTTAGTTTTCTTTATTTGCAGAAAATGAAATTTCTGAACACACTCTAGAAAGTTACAAATCAAGGTCAAATAATGAAGAAACATCATCCCAAGAGAAAAATAGCCAAAGTAAGTCAACCATGTGACCTGAGATTTGAAAAATGAGATTCATTAATTTATTGCCTTTAAGAGAGAGGGTAAAAAATCAAAGTTTGATTTTTAGCACTAGAAAGTCAATTGTCTAAATCATCTTGTTGAAGTTAAGGAACTTCATCTTAAAAAAAATAAAAAGTAGCTTTCAAATTCTTGTAGCCGAAGGTAAGCCCCTTTGGGAAGCTATCCCTGAGTCCTCAGTGACACATACAGGCACAACTCTGGACTATATGTCCTTCCTGTGCTCCAGAGTAGCCTATAAACATCTTCATCAATGAAGCACTTCCACACCATATTGTTATTTTTGGTGTGTTGATTTAGCTACCATGATGCTCTTTCAGGTGGTAAATAATTGGATTTACTTTATGTGTATCCCCAGACTCTAGCATAGGACTTGGCATAATGGAGTTTGATAAATTTGTATTGAATAAATGAATACAAGACTTAACTAACTCAAGCAGAAATGTTTCCAATTTTTTGAATGACTTCATTGCAATTTCTCAAGCAAAATATGTAAAGAAAATGAAGAGTTTAAAAGGAAAGAGAGAAAGAAAGAGAGAGAGAATTCCTGACAAAGATCTAGTACACAGAAGCTAGAATTATAATAAGGCAAGAGCCTTATACCTTCCAACCATTTTGTTTCCTCCATTCAAATTAATTTATTCTATCTGCTAAGAGTTCCAAGAAATGCAGTAAGCTTTGCCACTAGTTTCTGTCAGTTTTGTTGAGGCTTTTGTCAGAAGTGTGTCTTTACAATACCTCGGCCTTTTTTGTTTTGACCTAATAGGGTGTGACATTGAAAGAAAGAATAGCTGTACTAGCATGGAAAGGGGTACAAGGGATCAGACTGTGTGAGAACTGGGGGCGGGAGGGGAAAATGTGTAAGCTACATACAGTCTGTTGTATTGCAACCCATGTTTGTATAACATCAGTCTCTTCATATGTCAATATAATGTGTAAATATAATGTGTAAATATAATGTGTAGAAGGATGTCAATATAATGTATAAATGATGTCACTATAATGTGTAAATGTGTTGCTTCCTATGCCGATTTTCCTAGGAAAGGGGAACTAAAGCAGTAAAATTACAACCTTTAGCAGGAAAAGAAAAGCTCTAAGCTGCTGAACAAGCAGATGTCCTTGCAGTTACACCTTAAGAAAGTTTAAAGTGAGTACCTGCACTCAGGACTCTCTCCCCAGAAAGGTCTATCCCCAGGGGCTTGCCACAGCTCAAGGAGGTTCACTTTCTCCTGGGCTCTGATATCCACTTCCATCCCCCTTCCCTCAGTGCCCTCAAATACAGCATTTCAACTCTGTTGTGCTCACTTAAAAGATACTCACTCTCTGGAGCCACTACAGTCTGTGTAGATTTGCATAGGCTTTGAATGGTCAGCAGCAACACTATTTTACCCATAAGCCCTGTGACATATAGTATAAAATTTTGCTGAAGGCAATGCGGTTTTTGTTTAGCAACACATGTGTTATCTTATAGCAAAAATATCTATATGTTTATGTCAGGTTTATGAGCGTATTCTTTATGTAACAAGATTTTTTCAAAATTAAACTATAACAATGCATTTAGATAATTTATAGGCATCAATGAAATTCAGATTCAATTTTTTAAGAAATAACACATGGACCTAAAAATATCATGTGCAATCAGTGTTTCAAATAAAGAGGTGCAATGCTGTTCAAATAAATTTTCATCTTTGAAATGGTTTTCCTTAGCTACCCGTTCTAAGAGCTGCATGAACTATATCACACAGTTGTACTCAGAAGCAAAAATAAAGCAGAAGGAAAATGCACACCATTCAAAATTAAAAGAAGAGTATGCTCAGATGCCAGAGAGCATTGTGTAGTGCTCCCTGCAATAGAAAATATAATTTCAAAGCAATCACATCATCACTTCCGTGGACAGCCTATGGGAAGAAGCCCGATTACTGTGACAGAAAAAACATACTTTGAGCGCAATGCAAGATGGTGTCCTGCCTCGTCAATCTGCCCCAGATTAAAAGCAGCAAAATGAGGACCAAACCATGGACATAAAGCTGCGTAGTTTAAAAAATAAGTAAATAACCTCTTATGCCTGACACTACTTCAGAGCAGGAAGAGTCTACTAAACCTTGGGATTAAGTCTGCATGACTAACTAACATCTTACTGTGAAGGAACAGTTTTTAGATGGAACTAGTGAAACTATTTAAAATTTTTGTTTTAATCTTTTCTTTTGGTTTCCAAATAAAGAACTTTGGGATGAAAAGGACTTAAAGAAGGTCTCTAGTCCTGGGAGCTTACTTTCAAGATGGACTTGAAGATGTAACCAGCAGGTACACTGTCAGGGAGAAGTGATACATAATAACTAATCAGTCAGATGAGCATGACCACCCTAAGACAAGTGTGAGTTCAAGGTAGGCCCAAAGATTCAATTTTCTTAGATTTTCTTGCTAAATCACGCAAGCTGACCTGGTGACTTTTTTTTTTTTAATGACACTTTATTACAAAAGCGTACAAAAGAAAAATAATGAGTTTAATTTACTACTGACCTAATAGATACTTTTTAAAAATTATTTAACCAAGAGCAGAACATACATATATTTCTTTTTCTAATGGTGGTATTCCAAGTTCTAGTGGTGGTATTCCTACTTTCACATGTGAAAGTGACATGTGGCATATCCTTTTCCCCCTTCCCATCAGTTTATTTAAAGTAGAACAAACTCTGATATTTATTTGTGACATTTCTGATTGTTTGGATCTAAATAACTTAATTCTAAAATAATACTCCCCACACACACACACACACTCTACCATATACACTCAAATTATTAGTTTGTAATTTGTTACAGAGGTCAGATCTAGCTGTGCTGATTTTTTTCTCTTGATAACTTTTTTTAACAATCACAAAATTACTGCAAGTCGTAAAGAGAACAAAGCATTTTTCCTTCTGAAATATTTGAAAGTAAGTTGACATGATGCTCCATGACACCCCAAATACGTGAGTGTATATTTTCTACAAACGGGAACAGTCCCCTTTATAACTACAATGCAACCATCAAAATCAGATTAACATTAATATATTTCTACTGACAGTTCTCAGACTCTGTTCAAGTTTCTCCAATTGTCCTAGAGGATCTAGTTCAGAATCACATTTTAGTCTTATATATTTTGGCACAGTTCCTCAATCTTTCCTTCACTTTCATGACCTGGACATTTTTGAAGGGTATAGGCATTATTTTGTAGTCTGTCTCTAAGTCTGGCTTTGTCTGATGTTTTCTTATGATTAGATTCAGGTTACACAATTTTGACAGGACTATTGTAGAAGTGTTGTTTTATCACATTGTATTTTATTTATCTCATTATTGATGATGTTCACTTTGATCACTTGATTAAGGCGGTGTCTGCCAGACTTCTCTATGTAACAGTTACTCTTCTCTCCTTTCTAAGATAATATTTTGTGGAGAAATGCTTTAAAACTATGTAGCTATCCTGTTTCTCATCATACTTTCAAGTTATTCATGTATTTACTTATGTCTGCATGGACTCATGTTTTCCTCTGTTATTCAGTGGGTTACAATCTGTTACTATCCTATATTATTCACTAGGTTATAACTTGTTGCTATCAAATTAATCTGTTGTTAATTTGATGATCAAATTGTGGAAACAGGCTTTTGTGTCCTTCTTGTCCTCAGTCTTTGAGCACTTTCTTGCTTTCTGGTACAAGCATATTCTAGGCTTATCTTAAATTTTTCCTGCCCTGGCCCTATAATCAGCCATTTCTCCAAGGATCTCTGGTTTCATTTACTGGGAAATATTTTTTTAAAAGCCAAGACTCAAGGGCTAGGTGTTCTCATTGCTTTGGGGATATCACTGTTTAAGTCATCTCAGTAGATAGAACCATGAAATGTATTTATACATATAAGTATATACGTGTTTATGTGTGTGTTTGTGTGTATTGAACTCTGTCTATTGAAAACCTTGAGTTTATTCTAGTCTTCTTCCTTTCTGTATTTGTAACTATGCTTTCTGAGAAACCTGGCTTTCATTATCCTTAAATATTTATCTATTTGCTCAAAGTTCTCTATGTAAGCAGTCTTCTATCTCTGCTGTCATCCCATTCTCCTCAAGGATATCTTCCTCTTGCTGCTCAAGTTCTGACTTCTCACACTGTGCTCCCATCTTGCCACGTGGATGCTGTCCTCACCAAGCTTGGGCTCTGACCCCACACAGGTTGCCCCACTGTATAGAAGCCCTATCTGCACATTAATACACACACTGCTCATGGTGACCCTGCACCCCACTCAGACTTGGACACCACATGCTGGGCAGTCCTTCTAGGAACGCTGACTCCTCACAGGGCTGGGGCTCAGCAACCCCTCTCTGGGCCTCCATAACTTCCCCACCAGCACCACTATGGACACCTACTTTGTTATAGTCTATCTAATGATGTCAGGATAGAATTGTTTGGGGAGAGAAGGGAAGTAAAAGAGTTAGAAGAATGGAAATGAGCCAAATGTCCTGATTTACAAGAGAGTAAAGACACCAAGGTGAAGCACATCATTTATAGTTTTGTAGCAGCTCTAAGACAGAAATCATTCACCAAGTCGTTCATATTCTGAAAACAATGCAGAGGGAAAAAATAGCTTTACTTCATAGATGGTGCTTATCGCAGCTAATTAAACCTAGGATTTCATAAAACAGGGATTCTCAGGCTTATCCTCAAAGATTAGTCTCAGCAGACCTAAAAGTGAAGCTTTGGATCTGCATTTTTTTTAAAGCTCCCTGAGTGGTTCCAACAGGTTGGGGTGCCCTAACGTAGCACAAACCAATTTTTTTTTTTCAAATCTAGCTGAAGTAAAAATATTTTCATTAAAGCTGAATTAGAAATAATATTTAGAAATATTATATTTTTCTGGAGACAGAGGACCTTATGAGTCTTCTAGTCCTACAAGGTGTAGAACTATACCCCAGTTACAGAGGCCGAACACATTCTATGGACAAAGAACATCCAACTTACATAGTGCCTAGCCCATGTTTCTCAATTTATATTTAGCAAGTAGCAGAGAGAAGACAGAAAAACAAAACAACATTTATAGAGGACCTACTATGAGCCAGACAATTTTTATGGGTATCTAATTTAAGCATCATAACAATCTTGCAAAGCAGATATTATAATACACATTTGGCACATGACAAATGCTCTCGACTCTATGAAATGGCTTAGGAGGCGACCAAGATTATTTAACCAATTAAGGAGAGAGCCCAGATGCTGACATGGGTCTGTCTGGTTTTAATGCCATATTAGGATGATTCCAGGGGATTTAAGAAGAAATGACATGTTAGATAGCTGTACTCAATACCTTTCAGTTGCCCCTCCATACTTTCCACCCTTTTCTACCTGCTGGGTACCCTAGAACACTGGCACTTTGGGCTATGTCAAGAGGGCTCCCTTGCCCTCTCTGTGGCTTCCAGTTAGGAAATGTGGCATACCAGCAGGTGAGCAGAAAATGTGTGTGCAAGGTTTCAAGGAACTAATTGTGTTTCCTGACCTGAGGTCACAGCTTCTGTCCGTCAGTTCTCTCTGTCTCTGGTTCTGGAATTTATGTACTTCCTTCACTTCATCAAGCCTAGAGGGATCCTGCACTGTCTTTTTTGGTTCCCACAAAGCTTTGTAACTAGTTCACTTATTAAATCTTCTCAAATGGCCCAGCTTGAGTTCTACAGAGACCCTAACCAATACAATAGCTATATTTACAGATTTCTTGCATCTCAACAAATCTAAATCAAGTATTATCGGTAAACACAGAATACTATAATTAGAAGGGATCTTAGTGTTCACTTTGAGCATTTCCTAGAATGTATTTTGAGGAACTCTGGTGGACTAGAAATATTAACAGGTGTTCTGTGGGGGGAAAATAACAAAAAATTGTCTGAGGTCAAGTTTGAAAATTGTTGAACACTCTATCTCTCTCATAGAGGTCATGCATATTAACATAGTAAAGGTTCTCAAAGTCTTCTCATAAAGGAATCAGTTTAGGTTTATTTAAGCCAGCAAAGCTCAAACTTAACCAGCTAGAATAATTCATGACTGTTGCCCACCCAATGACCATTTGCCAATGTCTTCCTCCTTTCTAGCGGATCTTTAATTTTGTTCTAGTATCTGCCCCCCACTACTGTTCTGTACTTTAGAGGAGATGGGCCTCATCCCCATCCAAAAGGAGAAATCATGATTGGTTCGAACCAGTCATGGTCCCATTCCACTTGCTAGTGATTAGTTTGGGTTTGGGCACATAAAACAGTGCTGGCCATTGAGACAGGAGTGGAAATTTCTAGCTGACACCTGGGAAAGATGTTTCTTAACGATAAAAAGAGACACTCAGATTGAAAGCATCCTGCTTTATCCATGTTGTTGTCATAACTGCAAGTGATGCCTGGAACTGCCACCAGCATTTTCTCCCCATCAAGGAATTTGAGCTAACATGGTGAGGGTGCCATAGAAAAGAGACAGAGTGACACAAAATCCTTGATTTCCTCAGGCTGCTGAATATTTCAGAACTTCTTGGTAAATAAAATAAGAGCCCCACTTCATTATTTAGGCCAGGTAAACTGGATTTTAAATTACTTTCAGCTCCTAAACTATAAAATAGTTGTTTTAGGAAACATTAGTGTTCTAAAGAACACAATTTAGGAAATACTAATCTAGAGAAATTCTTTGTATTATAAATGAGGGAACTGAGGCCCAGAGGGGTTTCATCAGACATCAAAGACCACACAACTAATTAGTAAAACAGTTGAGATTAGAACTTTGGTCTCCTGGCTCCTAAAGAGACCAAAGCAGGATTATGCCTTTTTCTTTTCATATAACTTAAATCCCCCAAAAGAGCATTTCATGCTCACTTCTTCTTATATATTGGAAGATGGAGCTAAAGAGCAACATAAAAATCTCTATTTAATAATCTTTCTTAGTTTTACCTTTTGGAGACTAAGTTAAAAGTTTGCTTATATTGCTTTCTCTCAAATTACTCAAAATAATAATAATAATAATAATGATGATGATAATAATAATAACCTACCCAAAACAAAGTTTTCTGGTGCCACGCATTAGCTATACCATCTATCATTAGGTGAACATAACAGAGAGAAAATTATACT